AAATACACTAACAAGAGTAATGGTCTGTAGCTTATCTTGCGATGATAAATATGATTATCTTATCTGCTGATAGTGTTCTCAATAGCGGTTTGTATAAGCGTTTTGTTGGAGTAGTCTTGTTTATAAATTTAATTTTCCCTTTGCATTTTTTTTGCTACCACACTCAAGCTAATTGAATTTCCCTTTCTTTTCTCTCTCATTAGTTTCTATTCTATGTTCTCTCTCTCTCTCTGGGGAATAACAATTTATATGACTTAAGAAAATAGGACCCCTCTCCCCTTCTGAAAAAAAACATATTCACATGGGTTGGCTAAGCTTATGTGGGATCAATTGATACAAGTCAAGAGCAGAGACTGTTATTTAGTCAAACTTCAAGACATTTTGTTGTTAGACATTATACAGTATATATGAACATAATAATGACCCTGAGACATTGAATATTTTATTATTTTTTTGCACACTGAAAAAAGGTGAGGTAATGTATTTCACCTAGAAGTACAGTAGTGTTATTGTGTCTGTTGATTTCCATCATCGCTGTTTTTCTTGTCAACGGTTTAGCATAGCTGGTTTCCTCCACAGAGTTTGCTTTGCAAGGCTGCATCTGAGAGAATTTTATTTATTTTTGTACAAACTGCATGAAGCATAGTAATGTATACATTATGTGTCGTAGAGAAGGATGAGTTTTCCATAATTTTTTGGTTATTTTTCTTTTAACTTTTACTTCCTTTTATCCTGTTCACCACTGATCGGCTCGTTAGCCACTTGGGCGATCTGTTACGTCTCTGTTATGCACTTGCTCTTGAATGTATTTGAACCTGCTCCAGTGTTGGTCAAGTCTGGTCTTGAAAGAGTTCACACTTGATACCGTCACAACTTTATCTGGCAGGTTGCTCAAGTTCTAATTCTCACTGTGAAAAAGTTACCCCTCATAGTTTTTTGGACTTATAGTGAAGGTTCCAAGTGTTCCCTGAAGAAGGCAGTGATGGGTAGGGAAACACCGGGTAACACTGAAGTCCATTTATTAACGGATAGGAGAAATACAAGTGGTGACTAGCTTGTGACTTGCACGACCCACAGAGTCAGACTGAGACTGCCTTGCCATATGGCAGCCTCAGGGTAATGTTGCCACATAACACATGCAGTGTTGCCACGTAATTACATATATAAATGCTACTCGACACAGTAGCTTATTTACAAGATTGCTACTCGGCACAGTAGCATAGATACATAACCTACATATAGCTTCTTCAACAGCCGAGCTGTGACGCCTTGTGGGGCGGGCATCCGCCAGCTCCACATGTGGACACTCGATTGAGTAGTTCCCTTTGAGATGTTTATACACCTCAATTAGGGCACCCCTTACCTGTTTGTAGTATAAGCTAGGCAGTTGGTCTCTAATCTCTGGATAACTGAGGTGCCGAAGTGCAGGCACCAGTCTGGTGCCTGCACTTCGGACGACCTAATCAACTGACAGTCTCTAGCATATCTCAGGGACCAGACGGGGTGACAGTACTCAATGCGAGTCACCTCACTCTTGAAGATCATTACGAGGGGCGGACCATCTATAATCTGAACGACCTTCTTATAAGACCTACTAGTTTAGTTGCTTTATTCACCTTCTCCTCACAATGTCCCGAGAACTTAAGTTCATTGGCAACATACACACCCAGGTCCTTTTCGCATTCGGTCTCTATTAATGCAGTTTTTTCGTTCCATTTTGGACATATGATACTCATCCTTACCGTTGATAAGACCCAGGTGCATCCTCTTACACGTCGTGACATTGAATCTTAGCAGGCGACCACAACATGTCGAACAATAATGTTTGCAGCACTTAAAACAGTATTTAAATTTTCTTGTGCATTATTTTGGTACTGATGACAATGGAAATTCAGTGTCTTTATCATGTAAAATCCTCATGCTTAGAATGCCTGTGGTAAAAAAAGGTACATACAGTGGGGTATGCTATAACGAATCTAATTGGTTCTGGGGAACCTCGTTCGTTATAGGCTTAATCCATCCCAGGCCCCCAAATACAACCACTTAACACTGAAAATTTCTGTGAAAAATGTAAAAAGTATGGTACTTTATCTTACCTTAGTGTTGTTCAGCGCATGCAGGACAGGAGGCAGGAGGGAGGAGAATTATGGAGAAGAGGTGGAAGGAGAGGAGTCATCATCACAAGCCCTCTTCAGAACATAAGAACATAAGAAAATAAAGGTCTGCAATAGGCCGGTTGGCCTGTGCATAGCTTATCCTCAATATCTGAGAGTTACTACCACTCTCTATCATCCAGATCTATCAGCCTCCTTTTGAAACTTTTCAAGTTCCCGCACTTACTACAAAAGTTGCTAAGCATTCACTCGTCCTACACCCTGTTGTGAACCAGTTTCTTCCTATCTCCCTCCCCTAAAAGCTAAACTTATCCAACTTAAATCCGTTGCTCCAGTCCTATCCTGCTCTGATATTATAGAACTTTATCTATATCCCTTTATTGATTCACTTTCACCCATAAATACTTCTATCATATCTCCCCGCACTCTTCGTCTTTCCTAGGAATGCAAGTTAAGTTTCTTTAGCGTATCCTGATATGGAAGGTTTCTAAGTCCAGATCATTTTTGTCATTCTTCGCTGCACACAGAGCTCTAGTGAATTTATATCCATTCTATCCATTATATCCATTCTTTGGTGACTGTCATACAGGCACTTTGTCTGTAGGGTCTTTTGCTACTTTTTTAAAGAAGGAATCCAGGGTTGGCTGCTTCAACCTTGATTTCTGGACCTTCCAAAAGTAGTTCATCACATTGTCATTAAACACACTGATGGCCTTTTCCACAGAACCAACATCAGGATGATAATCTTCCGCAAGCTTAGACAGTTTGCTCCAGCAAAAGAACACATCCTTGAGATCTTTGGCTGGAATGATGCGGCTTTCCTCCTTGTCCTCATCCTTCCCTGACTCCTCAGAGGTTAAGCTCCACTTCAGTGTCTCATTTTCTTCTTTGTGAAGCTCAAGCAGCTCCTCAGTGGACAGCTCCTTACTGTGCTCTTCCACCAACTCCTCAACATCATCATCATCCACTTCCAGGCACATGGAATTGCCCAGAGACACAATTTCATGTACAACAGCCTCTTCCTCTGACTCTTCGAAGCCTTCAAAGTCTCTTTGAAGCACACATTCAGGCCACAATGGCCTCCAAACAGCACAAAGACACCTCATAGTAACCTCTTTCCAGGCTGACGCAATTAAAAACACAGCGTCTGCTATATTGAAGTGACTTCCAAAATTCCTTCAAACTAACATCACTGGAAGAAGTGGACGCAAAACATTTTCTAAACAGTGCCTTTGTGTACAGCTTCTTGAAGTTGGAAATTACCTGTTGATCCAAGGGCTGGATGAGAGGTGTTGTGTTGGGTGGCAAGAAGTGCACAGTGATGAAGTTGAACTCCTCTGGCAATTCAACCATCAAATTAGGAGGGTGGGCTGGTGCATTGTCCATCACCAATAGAGCTTTCAGCGGAAGATTATTCTCCCTGAGGTATTCCCGAACACTGGGTCCAAACACCTCAATCAGACTCAGAGAAAAGACTCCTGGTCACCCAAGCCTTTGGGTTTGACCGCCACATAACACCAAGGCTGTTCTTCCTAATGTTTTTGAAAGCTCTGGGGTTTTCTGCATGGTACACAAGGAGTGGTTTATTTTGCAGTCACCAGAAGCATTAGCACAAAGAAGGAGGGTAAGCAGTCACCAGAAGCATTAGCACAAAGAAGGAGGGTAAGCCTGTCTTTCATTGGCTTATGGCCAGGGACAGAAGTTTCCTCCCTTGTAATGTATGTACGGCGAGGCATTTTTTTCCAAAAAAGTCCAGTTTCATCACGGTTGAATACCTGATGAGAAACAAAGCCTCCCTCTTTAATCACATTAAAAAAAAATGGCATGGTGTTCCTTAGCTGCTTCCTTATCTGCACTAGCAGCATCACCATGTCTCACAACACTGTGTAATTTATTTCTCCTTCGGAAACCAGTAAACCACCCCTTGGTACCCCTAAACACTGGCACATCACTATCACTTCCACTGGGAGTCTTGGCTTTAAGGTCCTCAAACAATTGTCTGGCCTTCTCACAAATTATAGCTTCACTAATGCTATCACCTGCCATTTCTTTCTCCTTTATCCACAATAAGAGTAAATTTTCCATCTCCTCAATCACATTACACCATGCTTTGCTAAGTCTAGAGATTCCCTTAGCCACTTGCACAGTTTTCAACTCCTCTTTATTCTTCAAAATCGTACATATAGTCGTTTTAGCCATCCCATATTCATCACTAAGTTTTGCAATGCTTGTTCCATACTCACGTTTCTTTATGATTTCTTTCTTAGTTTCAAGAGTTATGAGCTTTCTCACTCGCTTTGGACGATTCATTGTTGCAATTGTACACTTGTATAACAAAATATTTATACAAATAACTCGTATTTCCACATCAAAAGACGAAATTTCAACAATAACAGTGGTGCACTGGCTACACAATGAGGTAAAGATGGAACCTGACGCTCTTGTTGTGGATCACGGTACAACAGTATTCATGCGCCAGGCGAAATAGTCCCGTATTCATCCCCGTTCGTTGTAGGAGTTGCATTCGTTGTAGCATTCTCAATTTTATAGATAAAACCGTTCGTTATAGGAATATTCGTAGTAGGATACCCCCACTGTACTACAGTCAGTTCTGCTATAACGCGATAGTTGTGTTCTTGTAAAATATTGTGTTATAGAAAATCGCGTAATAGAAATAACAGGGCTTATGGGGAAAATAGGGTTAGGTGCAGATTACTACATTACTCGAAATCGAAAAAAATTTAGTAGTTAGCCTAACACAAAGGATAGCACAGTCTAAATAAATGTTACATTCATATCTAATAATGAAATTATACAGTAAATGTAACACTTTACCTTGAAAAAATATGAATAAAACTTGATGGGGGAGAAGGTTGATGTTGAGGT